CCTGCTGGTTGCAAGGAGGAAGGGCTCGCCAAATAGCGACGCGGCCTCCCCATTGGCTGTGGCGGTCTCGGCCGCGGTTTTCTGTTGGCCGGCTGCTGTGTCACTCCTGCGGATTAGAAGGAAAAGAAAGGGGAAAGAGAGGCGAGGCAAGACAAGGCTCTATTGTGAGCTTGCTGCTGCTGTTGCAGCCGCTGCAGGGAGGGGTGGAGGCGGCACCGCCTCGCTCGCCAGACTCCCGCAGAAAGGCGCCCCCCCCCCCCGTTGCAACCTTTGCGCGGCGCTTGAGAGGGCAAAGCATTTCGCAGGCCTTCTCCCAGAGAGCCTCACGAGCCCCTGGTCACCCTCCCAGAGCGGGGAGGTCCGCGCTGAGGTGACGTTTGACTCATTGGCCGCTACGCGACCGTCGCGCATATTAAGGGGATTTATTCATCAAAACCCTTTGGAGCAAGATTGGCCAGGTTTGTTCTCCTGGCTGCTGAAGCAGCAACGAAGGCGTCCCACGGGGCACTAGAAAAGAGGGAGTCCAGGAACTCGTTAAAGACCAACAACATTTGTGGCAGCAGGGGATGAGCTTTCCTAAGTCACTGCTCACTTCGTTAGATCTGAAGGAGTGAGCAGTGACTCTCAAAAGCTCACACCCTGCCACACATTTTGTTGGACCTATGGTGTATCTTTAACTCTCATCTCGAACATGGGGCCCACTGCTGAAAGCATAAGAGATCTGTTCCCCCCCCAACACAGCCCTCATATCTTTGTCATGCAGAAAGAAAAGCTGCACCAGCTAACATTCTCTACTTGGTCATCCCTCTGTCCCTCATCTCTAATTGAAAATGAAAACAAAACAAACCACAGCTGGGAGTGGTCCTTCTGATACCAGGGTTCTGTCTCCCAGGAGACCATCACGCTCTAGAACCTAACTGAAGCCCTTATCTGGATAGCCCAGGCTAGCTCAGTCTTGCCAGATCTCAGAAGTTAAGCAGGGTTAGCCCTGGTTAGTACTTGGATGGGAGACAACCAAGGAATTCCAGGGTCACTAGGTAGAGGAAAGCAATGGCGAAACCACTTCCGTTCCTCTCTTGCCTTGAAAACTTGACAACTGTGACTTGACAGCACTTTACACACACACACACACACACAGGTTGAGGAAGCAAATGGGTGCCTGGGCCACACCACTTCGGCTGTAGCTCACTTCACATTCCAAAAATATCCCCTGCAAATAGAAAACAAGCCAGTCAAAGCAAAGACTAGTGTTCTCCCTGACAGGCTAGTTTGGACGTGCAAGTTTTCAGCTCTGGTAATCACCACCTGCCCTATCTTGGATGGCCCAGGCTAGCTAAATCCCATCAGATCATCAGAAGCTACGCAAGGTCAGGCCTGGTTAGTATTTGGATAAGAGACTGCCAAGGAAGACCAGGGTCGTTACACAGAGGCAGGCAATGGCAAACCACCTCTGTTCATCTCTTGCCTTGAAACCCCTCTGGGATCGCCAGAAACTGGCTGCGACTTGACGGCACTTTTCACCACCAATCACCACCTCCAGTCTGACATGGTACAGTCCAGACAGTGACTCACTGTGTCATGAGACAGGCATGCTGGGTTCCATTTTACAGACATCACTCCTCTTCCTGTGTCCCTGAAGACTGAGGTGTCTTCCAGGTAGGCATCAAGCCTGGGCATCTTACTGCTGCCAGAATGGAAAGATCCCTGGTTTAGCAGGAACATTACAACCCTCCACCCACCCACCAACTCTTAGTCATAGAAGCCAACTGTGTATGGACCTCCCCTCTCCCACCTCACCAGCCTTGTTGCAGTCTACATTTTAAAAAAATCCTAATAGCTCACAATTGGGATGATTCTTCTGGTTATATGGATAAATTAGATGGTCTTATACAGATAGTGACATTGATCCCATAGTAAACAGCTTCACTCTCTGCATGCAACTGATTCAGGCCACTTTGATGATTATCAATGTCCCTTTATTCTGGATGTCTGAATCCTGAATAATTTCCTCCTGGAGCAGAGAACAAGGCCCAGGAAAGCAATGATGGGGAGGAATGTTTCAAGCAAAATCAAAGGATTGGCGCATTAACTCAAAACAGAAAAAAGCTCTGGGTGATAAACAGAGACTATAAATGTAAAGATCTTATTTTTAAAAACATTCTTGAGCAACACAGAAAATTATAGATGCAAAAAAAAATTAGAAGAAAAAAATCCATCACTCACTACAGGAAGAGAGGCTTGTGCACAGAAACAACCCCCTACTTACGGCCAATGCAGATGTGCGTCCCAGTCCACACTGCATTGCTCTTCTGGCTCTACTGAACTGCTGGATGAGTTTCTCCTATCCAGCCATTATGACTAGAGCAAGGATGAATGATCTTTGTAAATTTACGACTGGTGCTTGGTCAACTATTTATATTCCTATTCCTTCCACAGATACACCTACTATTGCTGAGAACAAAGGCGGCTTTTAGAGAAGTGTGGGAAGCTGCGGATTTATTCACTCATTTAGAAATGTGTCTCCTCTTTTAGAACCAGCATCTCCTGTTTATTTTAGGAGTATCCAAGTGAGTGCACTGTATTTTAACCAAACAAACAAGAGATAAGTTTCTCCTAGCAGGAAAGGAACAAGCTGAGCAGCAGAACAGCACAGGTTCCATTTGCCAAATGGTCTAACCCCCCCCCCCCCTTTTAAACTCCCCAGGAGCCATGGCACACTTCAGCAGCCTGCCAGATAAAGGAAGTTAGTGGTTTTCTGGGAACAGATCACACCACCATGTTAAAATACAGGAAATGCCACAGGAAAGTGCTCCTCAGAGCCACTCATTCCAGCCACTCTCTCCAGCCAAATTATGCAACTAGGCAAAGGTCACTTCTGGTCCTTGGAAAGAACACAGAACATAAATACTACTGAGCCATTTAGAAGACTCCAAACATTTTTTGTTGCACACAGAAATGTGGCTGGAGAACTCCATCTCTGATCACCACAATTAATGGTGCCAATCTCAAGGCTCCTCAAAAGCCCTCTGTTTATAAAAGAGAGGGAGAACGCGGCTGCTTAGCATACTAGAAAGTGCATGGAAGAAATGTAAAATGAGTGCTGCCTACCAAAAGAAGCTGAACCAGATCTGCAATATTCTGTTCATATCTATCTATATATCTAATAGCGAAAGGCGCCCCCTGCGTGCGGATACCTAAATCCGCGCATTGGGGGCACCTGGGGGGGGAGGGAGATTTTTGTGCACACGTGGGGCAGTCCCCAGGTGTGCACAAAAATCTGAAATTTTGGAAAAAATATCGGGGAGATACTTAAATCCCCCCAAAAGTGACAGTGCGTCCCCTGCGCATGCGCAGGGAACGCTCTGCGAACTCCCTCACCGCCGCCGCTTGGGGGGGGAGAGAGCAGCGAGGCCTGAGCGGCGAGCCACTCGGGCCTCGCTTCGGAGCCGGGGGGGGGGGGAAAGAGCAGTGAGGCCCGAGCACAAAGTACATCCCGACACAAAGTACATCTGAGTCATTAATGAAGATAAGCCAAAAGAGACTTAATCAGAGCAATTTGCCTGACTTGGACAATGCATTATAAACATATCTGATACTCTACCACAGGGGTGTTGAATTCGTTACGAGGGCCAGATCTGACATAAATTTTGTCAGGCTGGGCCATGTGTGCCATAAAATGTAACACGAAGTACCAGAGATACAAACTGTATAAAGATTATTTCAGATGCTGAATTGTAATAGCAGGTTTGATTGGATTAGGCGTGATACGCAGGGGGGTAGTAGGCATGGAGATATCAGTACTGGTGATGAGACAGGAAACCTAGGTCTCAATTTGGTACAGGAGGATTCAGTCCAGGAGGATGCAAAGAATAAATGGAAATGGAAATACCCTACCATAGATTTTGTTAGCCTTTAAGGTGCTACTGGACTCTTACTCTTTCTACTAATATTAGAAACCACAACATTCAAAAACAAGTGGGGGAACATCTGAACCTTCCAGGAAATCCAGTTGCTGACCTAAGAGCAGCAGCTTTCTTACAAAGAAATTTCAAGGGGAGATTAGGGCCCCAGTCACACGGGCCGGAAAATGCGGGGGGGAAGTGTGGCTGTTTGCCTCGGAGCAAAATAATGCACGGCCACCCGATCACACGTCCCATCGAGGTCCAATGGTTAGGGCATGAGGTGCCGATCACACGGCTATCCTGCAGTGCGGCAAAGAAGTGGCGCGGCATGATCACACCAGCAATCGCTAGGCGCCCATTCCGTGGCAAACGGGAATATTTTTTTCTCACCAAAAGGTGAGCATGCGCATGATCGTTTGTGCGCATCCTGTGAAGACTTAAAAAAAAACTAACCAGTTTGCGATGGGACTAGGACGGGACACGATCAGACGCCCGTCCTTGCCCCACATTTTCAGGAAACTAGTACATTGTAAGTACTACTTTTTTACTCCGTATCTTCGACACGAAGCTACGGGTTAGCCACGGGTGCACTATACTTCCCAGATGTTGCGGTGTGATTGCGCCCGGAAAATCCGCCTATCATCCATATCTTTAGCGCGGTAAATGCTCTGTGTGAACGGGGCCTTTAAAGAGAGACTGCTGAATTGCAACTGATAATGAAAGTCAAGACAATGCATCCTCGTGGACCGAACTGAGAGCTAGGTTTCTTCTGTCATTACCAATGCCTGCTATTGTCATTTCGCATCTGAAATCACTTCACTCTCTCTGAAGAAGTGTGGTCTTAAAGGTGCCACAGGACTCTATCTCTCTTTCTCTCATGCTCTCCAGCTGTATGTTTGACACCTCTGCTCTACCACTTGTTAAAGTTAGCTAGAGAAAGAGAATGTGCTTTCTTTAAA